CTAGGGCCTAAATCAGCGCTGTCATTGACATAGTGGGAGGAGGGTTGTATGGTATTGTGATGATTTCGATGTGAAAGGATGAGAAGAACGTTTTATTTTTAATTTTTTTATTACGTTTTCGGTATAACTGTGAACTCGAAGCACGTGTTGAAATTTGCGTTTGTTGTCTGATGACCTAATTTTATTCTGGTGCGATAACGTCCATAAACAAGAGTCGGAAAGTTTGGCAAAGCTAACTTAAAGGACTCATTATTTACAACATAGGTGTCCTGTAAAGGGTAATGAAGTATTAGTATAGTTAAAGCATGCGAATAACTCTTTTTACTGTTAAAGAAAGTTCTAGGATTTCACGGAGGAACACTCGTGAAAAATATTGCCAAGTCCTTTGGGGTTCCCCAAATACTCCGTAGATTTCACGTGTCGAGTTGAGCTTCGAAACACACACATGCAACTAATAACTCTCTACAGTCAACGGCTATGCTTTGCGATATGAAAACTAAAAACGTTCTCTGAAAATTTCACTGTAAAATAAATATTGTAATTTTACAGCTAAACATTTTACAGGCTTTTGGAATAAAAACCTATCCGTAAAACACGATTTTGGTTGGAGCTGTAGGTTTACGAGAAATGTTGTAATTTATTGACACAGTTGTGAAATAAAGGTGGCAACTGTCCAATTACAGGAGGGTTGTAAAATTATCCTGATGTTTACAAATCCACAGGTTTCTGTAGGTAACTGCTGTGCAAAGTGAAGTCCAGGCTTAAATTCGTAGACAGAATCATTTAAAAAAGGTCCTCAAATGAGGAAAAAACTCACGATAAATGCATGAGAAACACCCAAATTATCATACTGAAAACAATAATCTCCGAAATATTTATTTGACGGATTCTACAACCAATGTTGTAGTCTGACAGCTATTCTGTAATTTTACAGCGCTACCTTGAAAACCTAAAAAAACGTCAATGTTTTTTGGGTTGCATGGCATTTGTTGTAATTTTACAACTGCGCTCAAAAATATTAAACTACACTACATGCCCCAAAAATTAGGTAAACATTTCCTGGAAAATTACATATTTTTTAAACAGTGTTCTAGTTGTGGCTGAAAGTAAATTTTTGGGAAATCCCAAGATATTTCTAACAGTGGTTATGTTGGCTTGAGACAAAGAAGGCTTTGCAGTTTTACTGAAGGCCCCTAAAGCAGAAATTTTCTAGAGCGAAAATAAACGGTTTAATTCCGGAACTGAAAAATTGTCATGAGAGTAGAGATTTAAAGAGGCAAGGAACACTGTTAAAAAAATGGCTGTAAATTTACAGCGAAAATGTGATTAATTTTGTTAGCAGCATATACTGTATTTGACAGGCCTTACTGTAAAAAAGCAGCGTTACTAAAAATCTCGGAAACAAAGTTTCTGACCAAAAGCAGTTACTTTGTTTTGCTCATGTAGAGAAAAATGTTGCGAGGGTGTTTAAAATGAAAACAACATTTCTGTTAGAAAACAGGAGTGTCAATCCCGCAGCATGACGTCAGGTGACAGTTTTTTTTAACAGTAAAACGCCCCCGGCCGCTGTCCGAAGCACAATATTTTGCCAAGCGCGGCCACTTATAGCGACGTAGAGGGTATCGTTCGTTTAAAAAATGTCTTTGCTATGACCCTTTAATACTAGAATTTCCTTTGACCAGCTGAAGTTCGGGAAAAGTCGGTGTCCTGCTGGCGCGTTTGTCGTGGCGGAGTGCAGCTGTGGAATGTTTAAATCACCGTAAAAACGGCGATAAATCGGTAAAAAATATGAGAAAAGTGCAGATCGTAGAATGGAGGTCTATCGTATATGACGAGAAGAATCGTCCTCTCGGCCTTTATATGCTGTCGCGTGGCGAGAAACGCGATTTCAGCCTTTCTGTAGCTACGCTCAGCCACCCCGACCGCAGCAACAGGTAGCCGAATCAGTTCTGCAGCGCAATTCCTTGGGCGTTTCTAAACTCGATCGTTGGAGGAAGTTTTAATTTCTAAGGGTAATAGCAAAGACACTTCTCGACCGAAGAAGACCGTTCCCTCTCCAACACTACTCTTAAGGTTGTGTAAGAGTATAAAATTATGCGCAACATAAATAATGAGTGAAGTTACGTCTACAATTCCATTCCCTTACTAACTCGCTTTCGGAAAATTGTGTGCAAGCATATACGGCCGTATTCGGAAGGATCCTAACGCTAAGTGTACTTTGAGGTATACTAAATTGCCAACATATACTTCAAAAGCGTACTTCGAAAATATAAGGAACGAAAAATACTAGTACATGGCCAACTAAACTCGTTAGTAGACAGAAATGACAACTTTTGAGAGTACTTTCCTAGGGTTGCCCCTCAAAGAAACGTTTTTTGATTATTATGTGGGC